TGTTTCTATTATTTTGTCCACCATAATTATACAAATGAGTTAAGGCTACATTCACAGGAATATCTCTTTGTATAATGTAATGAGATGAACAGATGAGGAGAAATTACAATATTTGGCACCTGTTAACAATCCAACATTTATCTGTCTTTTTATTTATCCCTCTTTCCCAATCTGGTGCTGACACCCATGTCTATGAAGATTGAAAATATAACCGTATAAACATTACAGTAACGATAATAACATAATGAGCTCACAGTGTGTGGGGTAAACATTAATTACGGTGGCATTTAATTGTTGAATGGATGTAAATTCAGTTCACTTGAAACCTTTAAAATGTGTTTGCTTTTTCCAGGGATCTAAAGAAAAGGACGGGTGACTGGTTTTACGATCAAAGGGTCAACCGGTTCTCCACTATGCCAGGACACAACCTAGTGAGGGTTTCGCTAAAAAAGAAACCCCTATGTGAGTGCAGGAAGAGGAAGTGGGTATAAACGGTTCAACTAGGAATGTAAACAGCTCTCAGCCGAACCCACAGTCACAATATTGTTCAGTTCAATAGTGAAAGGAGAGAAATGTTAAAACATTTGTTTGACTGGTGTGTGGTGTGGTTTGGTTTTGTTTTGTGTTAAAGTGAAGAGGCGTGAGACGACCGGGGAAGTACTGTTGAGAAATACAGAAATAAACCCAGAACTCCCCACTCCTGTGCCTCTGCCCAGGCTGAAAAATCAAACAGACAACAAAGGGTTTGTTCTCATTCTTTAGTTTTATCAGTATTAGAAATGTTAACACATTTTGAAACACTGATTAAGAATGTCTTAGTATTTTCTCACATTTTCTCTGTCAGTCATTCAGTCGAGAATTCAGTTGCTTCCAAAGAATCGTTTGAATCCAAGGAGGACGTCGGGTCAAAGTTGACTCGCAGTGATACAGAGTCTGCAGAAAATGCCAGTTTAAGCAGCATTAAAACTGGGACTGAGTCCGGTGGTATGACCCCTGAGCAAGAGAGGTATAGTTATTCTGAAATGTACAAACACTGCTACCTAACTACAAGCAACATTTAAAATGTAGATAATGCAGAGATTAGCCTTCCTTCCCCACGGCTGGTCTCAGTCCGGCCTGGTCAAGTGTAAGACTTGAAATCTTTGTCTTGGTCAGATAATTTAAAAAAAAAAAATACAAGTAATTTGTTTTAAATGAAGTCCTGTGTCTGACTTTGACTGTTAAAATAACAAGCATAATTATTAAAATAGAGTCCACATATGATTTAAAAATATGCTGAGATTTCCAAATGCCATTTGATTGTAATGTAATCGACACTGTATTTGAAAAGTTAAAAGCTGCCTGTTTTAACTGTATTTGATTTATCTGTATGTTGTCAACAAGGAGAGGGAAGCAGTCTCTCCAGTCCAGTCCAACAGGGTCTACTGTTTCCAGTCTGACCATCCCAGTCAAACCATCTATCAACACCAACACAGAAGCAAACCCTGTAAGACTCTTTTAAATCAACCTGCTCTCACATTAGTGTATCTTCTTTTCTTTTCTGACTGTGTCTACCTATTTCTGTCACCATAGGCTCCAGAAGTAAAACCTGTCAGTCCGAGCCCAGAGTTGGACGTTGACAGACTTTTCAAGAAGAGCATCAAACGAGCCCCAAAGCCTCCTGGTTAGTATCTTTATCTTACCATGAGCAGCACTGTTGATTTTATTCCTGAATCAAATGACAAGCAATTCCTTTATACTGTCTTTTCATTTAGAGTGTGTATCGACACTCGACCTACGTGACGCACGCGATGAACCTGACGCCTCGATGGGCTACAAGAGCCGTTCTGTACCAGGTTTAGATGTTCAGGTGAGTTCTTTACTGAACAAATATCTAGATTTTGATATTCTTATGCACTGCTTTTATATTCTCTGTTTAAAGTAAATGTCTGGCATTTATTAAAACATTGGCCTCTGTTATCAAAACTGATCCTTGCGTGACTGAACTTTGTGATACTTTACATTCTCAACATCTCCTACACTGCAACTTCTAAAGTATATTTGTGTTCGGATATTTGCATAAATGTAATATTTGTTCTGGCAGTTAACCGTTGTGTAGTTAAGTGTTTAAGAGACGATACAATACTAATGTGAAAAGAGGATTTTATATGTATGGTGTATGAGTACATTCAAATATTAGTCATTGTAGCTGGTTTGTATTTGGTTTAGAGATCAACAATGCTTTCTACCCAACTTGTGTGTGCATGTGTGGTTTTGTTCCAAATCTCTCAGTTGGTGCTGAAGGCTCCATTAACTAAAGTGATTAACAGATGCAGCTCAGTGGCAGTGAATCATCCAAAAATACACAACTCTAAGGTAGCATTGGATTGTATAATGCATAGGAAAAGGGATTCAGGTTATAGATCAGTGATGATTAGACATTTTATTTACATAACACTTCCCTAGCATAGAGTACTAGGGGTTTAAAAAAACGAATATTGTATAATCAACTATTATATGAATGTTAAAACAGAGCATTAAAATAAGGTAAAAAAAAAACAAGTGTAAGAGGAAACTGCTGTAAAAGTAAAATTTGAAAGTTATGCCCATATATTTAAACACTAGTCATCTAATGACAGGATTGAGTGACTGAATGTCATGCTGACAATCAATCACAGAAAGGAAAATATGAATGTATGAAGTAATCATCACCAGGAAAATGATCTTCTCCAAATCCTGTATTTGACTCAGCTCTAATGTTGTCAGATTTGGGATCTGATCGGTACTGAAGTCAAAAATGCTTCTTCAGTTCCTTATTTCAACAAATGGTGTTAAATTTCTGATACATTTCTGGTTATCCATTATTTTAGATGTTGCTGTTGTATTTTTATAAATAACACAAATCTTTTATTAAAACAGGGGAACTCTTACGTGGGTTAAAATAATCTCTCTCTGTGTGTGATCTAAATGTCTGTTATCTCACCACAGGAAGATGACGAGGAGGAGGAAGATATTGACAGCTTGGTTAGCTTTCACAAAAGGACAATGGGAACCAGCTCCTCCAGCCTGCACAGCTCAAAGGTGAAGTATTGACGTTTCTCACAGTTCACATTTACTCAACTAAAGGCTCTTTGAGGAAAAACTCTTTCAGAGCAAAACTGATGTTAGAGCATCTTCAGCCTCAGGAAACCTCCAGCAAATTAAGAAGTGTCGACCAACATGTCCCCATAGTAACTAAAGCTGAGGCCAAGATGACTTTCCTGCTGTCACTCTGAATGAAGATATTGACAGAAACATTATCTTTGTTTTTCCCTGACTCACTCTCTCCACCTTCCAGTTTGTTGCATGTTAAATATGATTTATTTGTTTTATGTGTTATTTCTTGTGTTTTCTATTTGATCTGCAGCATTACGCCTTTAGAGCACATCTGTCCAATTATAATCTAAATGTCAATATTTGGTGCTGATGAAACAGGAATCGTTAGTGATTCTTCAGGTGTATGTGTGTTTCCACAGAGCGCACTGGGCAGCACGATGAGTATTTACAGTGAAGCAGGAGACTTTGACAGCGTGGAGGTGAGCGGAAACATCGTCTTCTCTATGAGCTACGACGAAGAAAGCCAGAGCCTCCAGGTCTTCATCAAGGAGTGCCAAGGGCTGGCTTACGCCGATGCCCCGCGGCAGCTTTCAAACCCGTAACTATTAAACATAGCTGTATTGTAATGTGTAATGTGAATCTCCGCTTGGCAGAACACGTCGTTTGAAGCACAGTTTGCTCCAAACTTCAAACTTTGCAGCAGCTGTTGCAACACTGTGGTTCTGAGAGACATTTTTCTACTGCACACACACCCCTCAGTGATGCTAACATAGCTTTGATCAGCGTGGATAAGAGGTTGCCGTGTTTACAAAGTCGCGATAATCACGTCCCAGAGCTGATTACTGCGAGTTTCACAGGAAATTGAATGTCAACAAATTAACGTTTTCTCTGCATTTAATCAGGAATAACAGCAAAACACAGAAGCCGTGCTCAGGAGAAAAACAGGATGACATACTTTTTTTCTTTCTTTCAGTTATGTCAAGTGTTATCTGCTCCCTGACAAATCTCGCCAGAGCAAAAGGAAGACCACCATCAAGAGAAACACCATCAACCCCGTCTATAAAGAAACACTTAAGGTGATGGTTTATATCTGGCTCCTCTCAAGCGGCACCGCAGCTGCTGACCTTGTCCTGTTGACTTAACGACACTCCCTGATTAGTGACCTTGCGCCGTGCCTGCTGCAAATAATGACCACACCTACACAGCCCTTACGATTGATATTGACATTGCAGATTAGAATACCTGTTGTTAAATATTGATTTTTGTCTTGGCCTCTAATGTAGAGTCAGCTTAAATCAAGGGGCAAAGAAAGGGGAAAGAAAATTAGCTGGAGGAATGATTTGTAATTTGGGATTTTTAACGTGATTTCACCCACAACACCCAATCAACTCTGAATTCATTTTCTGCGTTAATCAATATTACTTGATTTGTTTAAAACTTCTCCGTCACTGTCTCATCTCTGAATCATCCACTCCTCTCCTCCTCTTCCAGTACTCCATCAGCCGCTCTCAGCTGTTCACCCGCTCCATGTTAATATCAGTCTGGCATCATGGTCGCCTCAGCCGCAACGTCTTCCTGGGAGAAGTGGAGATCCCTCTGGACTGCAGAGACCTCGACTCCCCGTACGAAGAAAATGTGGCTCTGATGTCAAAGGTAGAACAGAACTTTTGTTTTTCTGTCTCATACTATGTGTAAAAGGTGTCCAGTGGAGGGGCCCCAATGTGTTCACAAATGAATTGTGTGTATGTATGTGGTCCAACACGCTGAAATAATTAATTCATAAATCGCCTTTTTCACAAATCTTAGTAAATATGGTTGTTCAGTATTTATCGTTATGGTTAATGGGACTTTTTTACAACTCTGTATCAGCCTCAGCCGACCGTTATTATTATTATTAGTCAGGTTTTAGTGTGGATGCCTGTTTGTTAGGAGTGTTAACATGTTTACTGTGTTGTTGTGTGAGATTCTTGCGTGTCCTCATTGTCATGTACTTGTATTGAACAGGCAGCCTTCACTGCACAGACTTCAGCTTTTGCTCAGTATAAAGGAGAGTTGGTGATCTCCCTGAAGTATGTCACACAAAAGCCAGCGACTGAGAAAATCAAAGGTAAAAGTCCAAACTGCATTTAGTTCTGACTGTCTCATAAGCTTAGCCTCAAATTTATCAGCGTCTTCTCTTCTTCAGTTAAGAAGAGAGAGGCCGTGACTGAACACGGGGGAGAACTGCATGTCTTAATTAAAGAGGCGAAGAATTTGATGGCAATGCAACCAGGAGGGACATCAGACAGCTTTGTGAAAGGGTTGGTGACCAACTGTCTGCTCTCACAACCCATTCACTGTGTTTTCATACAAACTCACTCTGTGTTCTTGGTTCTGCAGATACTTGTTCCCAACTAAAGGGAAGAGCACAAAAAGGAAGACTCCAGTCGTGAAGAAGAACCTGAACCCCCACTACGACCACACGTTTGTGTACAAGGATCTGGCTCTGGAGCAGCTGAGGGAGATGTGTCTGGAGCTGACTGTGTGGGACAAGGAGGCCATAAGCAATGAATTCCTGGGAGGAGTTCGTCTCAGCTCAGTAAAAGGTAGAAAACTGACAGAATCCAATAAATCCAGATATTTTTGCTTTTTTTCACCTACTTTTGAAAAAAAAAGTTGGTAGTTTCTGTGTGTGTCACTAAGACAACACTGTTCAGTGAGATCTTGTTGACCTAGTGCGGTGGCAGATAAACTGCATCGTATTTATATTGTAAACACAACAATACACCTTTTGTCCATATAAACATTGAAACTGGTTTTCCTTGCTGCTGACACTGGCTTCTGTAAAGCAATTTGAGTGTCATGTGATGAGGACAGAATTTTGTCCTCCTTTCAAAGTTATTCAGAACCGTATGTAAAGCTGATGATGTATAAGTAGTCAGACTTAATTCACTGAAGTGCACATATTCCAAAGTTGCAGTCGTTTTAGTCGAGAACTCCCACAAAAACAGTGAAACACAAAAAAGTGAATTTTGGAGGAACTTTGGAAGAATTCTTACATCATTTACATTAGAAGTACATAAGAAAGTGATCTTTTAATGACAACCTGGAGAAAAAAAACTGGTTTTAACTGAACTTCAGCCTCTAATCCCCGTGACACACAACAGAGGAATGAAGGTGAAAAAAAATCTCCATTAAAAGAAAACCACTTTTAATGGTTTTATTACCAAAGCTTAAATTGCCTTTATGAGAAGGACATGCTTAATTTTGTTTTACTGCTAAAGCCCCTGCAAGGCTTCCATGCCTCCCCTCCCCAGTGTGACAATTAAAAGTATTAAAGGAGTCTGGCATCGTTATAAATAACGGCTAACACTAATGCTGCACTTATCTTCACCCCTGCAGGCACTGTTAAAATAAGCAAAGAGGAAGTGGAAATGGACTCGGTTGGCGAGGAGGTCAGTCTGTGGGAGAAGATGATGCAGTACCCTGACTCGTGGGCAGAGGGAACTCTTCCACTGCGATCCACTATGCGAAAGGAGAAGGGCAAATAAGGACAGCAGCGCAACCCTGGAACTTCAAGGAAAAGAGACTGAGAAAAGGAGAAGCTGTGACTTCTGAGACGAATGTGAGATTAATGAGGAATGTGGATACGTTTTATTTTGAAACTCATCAGACTCACGGTTTACTGGCCTCCTGAACAACAGACATCTGTTCGCAACCCCCTCACACACACTGCAGACTGGTGTTACTGCTGGAAATGTGTCAAAGCATTCAACTCTAACTCTTTAATTCAAGAGCATTGACAAAGTCGTTTTATGTTTTTTAAATTCAGGCTTCATACATTAAAATCATGCACAGCACTTAGCAGAGAAACAGTGTTACACGTGTTTCTTTATAGTTATATACAGAATTTGTTTTGCTGCATTCAACAAATTGTGCTTAGTTTAATCTAGAACATTTTATTTTGCACAAATATCACATAATATTATATTTATATAAAACGAATAAAGTCTTTATTGAAATTGTTAAATTTGTTTATCTCAATTATCTATGTCTACCTCGAAGTTGCCTTAAATATTCTGTTCCCTAGACATGCTTGATTAATCTCAACTCTGGATTTCACCTCATTACCTGCTGGATGTTCCAGAGTAGTCTGCTGTAGCATTTAGGTGTTAAAGTTCTCGTTGAATATTAGGTCAAATGTTTTCTGTATCTATATACTCCATGCCTTCAGCTGATGACTTGATATAGAGAAAACAGTGCTATCGCTTCAGTGTTGTATAACCATCACATTTAAACAGGAGGAACAGCCTTCTCCTCCTCTTTTCCTTTTGCATGTTCCACTGGATCTGGCTTGTGGGTGTTTGTCCATCCTCATGTTGTTATAGCTTTACTGATGAGTTTATCGCTGTGGCAACTGGAGCGACTGATTAAATTAATCGCAGAAGTCTCTGTGGAGCTCGAGCCTGTCTCGTTCCTCCTCGTCCAGCAGGAAGCTGTCGATGAACGAGAACAGCTCGTCCGACGCCATCGGGGTGATGAAGCGCTCTCGGTCCATCCCGATCTTGTCTAGCAGCACCATGCTGAAGTAGTACCTGGAGATTCTGAATGCTTGTCTGCAGAGAAATGTGATGCAGCAGTTAAAGGGACAGTCCACCATCTCATACTGTGATGTTAAAGTGGTTATAGTTAATAATAAGTAATGGTACTGTTAAAATTTCTTTTGACAACAAGATCCAGACCATATCTACATCTTCCTTGATGATTTTTTCCTACATTTCCCAAAGTGCATTGCACTACACTGAAAGAATGTGCCTTGTGTGCAGCTCTCACTCAGCTGTGGGGTTTGTGTGTCAGAGACTGAAGGAAGAGACTCTGGGAGAGGTTTTCCAGAGTCTGGAAAAAGTGAGCAGTGCCCCTTACTCAAATTTCACAGTTGGTGGAAAGAAGCTTTATCTTTGCCTCTTGTTCGATGGATCAGTGCAGACATGGTTGTGTTTGCTGTCTGCTGCAAAATGGACTTTAAAAGACTCTTTTAATCCCTGATTGTCACAGGAACCTAATCCAGATGTTTGCTGCTGATGTTCTTATGTCGGTTCTCTCAAAATCTCAGTACTGCGACCCTGGAATGACTGCTAATCTTTCCAGTGGATTTTTTCCTTTTAACATCAAACTAACAAAGACGCCCTTTATTTTAGAACACTCTCGACATTTAAATAGAGCAGGGGTTCTCAAGCTGAGGGGTGGGGCCCCCTGGGGGGCTGAGTGAGAGGGTGGGGGAGAAATATAATTCATGTGGGGAAATAAACCAAGAAGAGTTTACTGATGATATTTTACAATTTCTCTAAAAACTCTTTTTTGCTTCCTCATCATTATTAATGATTGATAAAAACTGTGGGAGGGAGGGGTTAAAACTGAACTCTGCCAGAAACTGAGTGGGAAACTTTTTTGCTACTGAATAAACAATTTCCACCAAAGTGAAGCAAGAAAGAAAACCGACTGAATAACTAAGTGGTGAAGTATCTGACTATTACCTCAATCCCTCAATGACTTCAGAGCTGAGCAGACTTTCTTTAATGCGACCCGTTTCTCGAGGCGGGGAGCCCAGGAGCTCGATCACGGTCACATGTCGCAGGTCTAGTCCGCAGTCTGATTTCTGGAAAACAGAGAAAACTGATTTTTGAGTTTCTTGCTGTTTGTTAAACTTCCTCAGAAAGTGTCAGTATTGTGTGAAGATGAATGTTGAGTCAGGTTTCCTCACTTGAATCATGATGTTCTGCAGCTGGTAGTCGGAGTCAGATATGTTGGGTGCAGACATGATCAGCAGCCTCCTCTTCTCATAGAACTGATCCAGGAGAGCAGAAGCTGTTTTGACATCGGATTTAATCTCCATCGCTACAAACACACAATGAAATCCTGCATTTACACCTTCGTATATACATCATGAATACTGTTATGTATCGTGTATGTCAGTGGTAGAAAGTACATGTACTTCAAGTACAACTTTAAGGTTTTATACTTCTACTTAACAACGATTCAAAGGGAAATATTTAACTTCTTACACCACTACATTTGTTTCACAGCTTAACTTGACCAAATTTGAGAACTAAACATTATTCACTAAAATCCAGACATTAAAACTACTTTATATTCAATATATAGTACTTCTGCCTTTTAAGTATTAGTTTATGATTTTACGTAAAATAAGTAAATAAGTAAACAGTGCTTCTTCCACTAGCAGTACACACAGTACTTGCAGTTGTACACACCAACACACTCAGCTGGATTTCCGTCCCAGTTGCGGCTGAACTTGCAGATGCGACTCGACACCCCCCTCAGCTCATATCCTCCATCACAGTGGTATTCACATGCTGCACCGTAGTTACTCCCGTCAGAGGAACAGGTGAGGTAACCATGCAGGGGGGGAGGTAGTACTGGACATCGTCTCACTGTGAGGAGAACACCAAGGTAATAAAAAAGATCAAACTGACATTCTGAAAGTTTTAAAGCTGCCTCCAGTTAATCTGTTGGGTTGAAACTCATTCAAATTCCATTTTATGTGTATGGCACCAAATCACAGCATTCATTATCTCAAGGCACTTTGAATTTTCCATAAACAGTTTCATGAATATCAAGTTTTGTCATCTCACCCTCAACTCGGACAATAAACTTGCAGGCGGCTCTGTTCCTGGCTTGATCGTACACTTTGTATCGGATAAGATTTACTCCTTCTTTAAAGTCAGAGCCCGACGGCGGGCCCACTAATATAACCCTGCAGACACACAAGTGAGTCCAAATGTTAAACTCCATTTAAAAGTGACAGAGGTAAAGGTACTTAGTGACATACTCAAGTGATTTATCAGCAGTATCTTTGGCAGTGGGGGGATCCCAGGTGACCCTGGCGGTGAGTTTTCCTGGATCAGCGACCTTGAGTCTGGACAGAGGACACTTGATCTTTGGGGGATCAGTATCTGAAAGGAACAGTTTGAAAGTTAAAAGAATACTGGAGATATTAGAGGAAGGAAATGGGTTTGAACAGGAACACATGGAAGCCCGGAGCAGAATATGAAAACTGGGAGACATCAGAGCGCAGTTTGAATTCAGTCCAAAGAACAGAGGAGCAGGAAATATGCTTGTTCTGATCAGAGTGGACACTGGGAAGAGCAGCTTGTGAAAGAATGATTGGAAACTGCACAGGAACACAGATGGACTCAATCGAGGTCTGTGTTATAACAGCGAGTTAAATATTCACAAAACCTTTTTGAGTTTGAACATGCGGTTATTTTTACGTGCACAGTAGCGCTGATGTACCTGAACAGTCCGGCTGCCCACCGCTCCACGCCCCCCCATGCTGACAGGTGCGGGAGTGCTCCCCATTGATGCGATAGCCGGGGTCGCAGGAGAAGTCACACCTGGAGTCCACCACAAAGCCCTGGGTGCAGGTGTATCTGCCGTGTGGGATGAGGGGCAGCACGTAGCAACGCATTTCTGAAGAAGAGCAGAGGCCAGAGAATCAGGAGGAGTGATGAAGAGTGAGGCTGCGTCAACAAATCCCACGAATGACCAAAATCAAAAATGTGTGGCTCCAACTCAGTACTTCCCAACTTCCCCTGTCTCAAGCCCAGGCCCATTCATTTCCACTGAGGATGTAAATCTTTATGAACAAGTCAGAATTTAATATTTGAATTATATAAAAGGTGAAAAAACAATAATCACTCAATTAACTAACTAAAAACTCAAAATAATAATTCATGGCAATGATACATGCAGTGAACATGGGGCTCACTGATGCCTTTATAATAGAGTCTAATCATTAAACGAAACACAAAACATCCCTTCACGCGTCCTCGTGTGTGAAGGTGAGGTCTCCACATACTGCGGCAGTAGGCGGTCCCAGACCAGCGGCGGCTGGCGAGGCACTGGATGGAGCTCCTCCCCACCAGCCTGTATCCTCGGTCGCAGCTCATCTCACAGCGGGTTCCCAGCGTGCTCTTGAAGGCCGGGCCCCGAGGAGAGTGGCAGGTCACCTCCCCATTGGTCAGCCCCGGAGAGTGGCACCAGTAAGGGTCTGATTATTTAACAAACAAAGCATCTGATTGTGTCACAATGACCCAAACACTTAATAAAAAAACTGCCATGAAACAGTCAAGACATCTGTTTTCACTCCTGTCTGATTGTTTTATGCAAAACCTACTCGACATGTTTCGATATTAAACACTGTTGAAGGATGGGACACAGGCCAGAAAAGACACAGGTCTAGGATTTCACCCATTTCCCAGGGAATAATTCATGGATCTTGATGAAAACATCAGGCACATTGAGAGGAATGATATCTTCAAACTGTGTGCACCCTAATAATTGAAGGGGACAGTTGGGCCTTCTATAAACGCTCAGTGCAATATGTTGAAATTGCAAGAACTGTTTCCAAATTGAAGTCACATACGTGCTAGAGGGGTAAAGATAATACCAGGATTGTACTGTTATATTTTATTACTCTGATCAATGACCTGTATCCAAGAAGTATATCACACACATATCATTTTCTTACATCTGCAGAATGACAATAGATTATGTTAAAAACAAATTATACAGATACATTCACATATAAAACAATATATTATCGTGTCTCTATCTTTTTAATTTAAAAACTCATAGGGTCATTGTGGCAAAGCTTCTTATACATGGACACCAATGGTTTTATAGTCTATATTAATGTTATAAATAAATAACTGTATTTGTAGCACTTCACTTGATAATAATAATAGTACGGTACAGTTTTGCACTTCATCCATTCACACACATTCATACAGTGCATGTATGCGCAGCAACTTATCCATCAGTCGTATCTTGGAGTGTGTTTTTAAATACGCACTTTGGTGGTCTAGTTGAGGAGCGTAGTCGTCCTCTGTGAAGTCATTGTATCCTTCATACAC